AGACCTATTTCTAGTCTGTGGACTTGCTTTGGAAATCTCTGCCTCTTTGGGTACTCGTGCAGGGTGCCAACAAACCGTATTTCGGAAAGCTTGCTTCCTAACTCTCTGTATCTGACTCCTTACGGTTTGAAGTTGAAAGACGCCAAAAATGAAATCAATCACCTCATCATTTACTCCTTCTTATTATTTAGGCTGGTTTCGCGTTGCCGTCCTGAATTCCCCATCGACGGGTCGCGTTATCGGGTAGGGAGTAGTTACCGCGACAAACCACAGAAAAATCGGAAAGCAGAAGTAAAAAAAGCGACACAAATTGTTGAGGGAGGGATAGTCATAAGTGTAGGTTAGTCATCACAACCTGAATGCCTGTATGGATATCAAGAGTTGAACTTCAGTCTCGTTAGGGTATAAGACTGGTTGGTTAAAAGCAGACTGATCTCATGGCTCTTAAGTGCAATTTTTTAATGTCAATTGCACGATGACACTTCTAGAACTGCAAACTAGATGCACTCTTTTGTATTTAGTAAATTGTTGACGTTCCTCTACATTCAACTGAATCGCCATCCAAATCAGAGATTGAGTATCTCAGATTTTGGGGACTGTGTCTACTCGGTAGGCCCAGTGTAGAGACGAATCTACTCGTCTGAAGCTCACCCTTATCGATGAACCAGTATCAGTTATGCTGACTAGACTTACCCAAATGGCCACATAAGTTCAGCCTGCTACTATTTTGTTTTTTTTAACATGTCCCGTGAACATGTATATTTCATTGTTCTAGTTTGTTACCTAGGTGACCGATGTGGTCTAATCCCACAGTAAAGTCTATTGTTAAACTGTGAGTCTACACAATAGATGAAAAGGTTCGTCGCCATTGGCTGACCAGCATGTTGTCGATTGTTTTATAGGACCAGGATTGTGTAGGGAAATCATTTCGAGTTTGGCTGTGACTAAAGGTTGACCACTTGACTAAGTAAGTTGATCCGCCACAGGTTAGCACGGAGAATCGTTGACCCCTTTCTGTTGAAAATTTCACACTACTGCTTAGTCCACTAGCGCTCTAAATAGAACACTGTCTAGTGAGTTGTACAAAGTAAAATAACGGATTCAGCAGTTACGATTATACAGATTGTGGATACCATGAGAGTACTTGCTGGTTATCGAGATTGCCAGTGCGGAAACCGTATAAAATCAGTTGACTGATTTCTCACCTGTCTTAGTTAGATCCCTTAGCAAGCCGTTTACCATGAATTCGATCTCGGTTTCCAATCCTCTTTACTTAAATTGCTTTTGACTTCCCCACTGAACATCGACTACGTTATATTTTTGGATTTACGCGTCTTCAGATTCTGAAACTGTGATCAAAATTATCTTGAGTGACCCTGGATCCAGCACGCGTAGATCAAGAACCAACAGGCTGTTCTTTTCATCTGCTGTAATATCATGTTAAATTTATCGGCATTTTTTGTGAGATCGGTTGATGAAATGCTTAGTTCCTGAAATATAGAGAGGTTTCTGTGGTCCATGATTCCTTCTAGACAGTGTTGTGTCATGTGGCATTACCCAGTTATTTTGCCGATAATCACCCCTTCCATAGTGGCTGTCGATGGTGCCATCCAAAATAGTCGCTTTAGGGGGCGTGGAGGCGATCCAGCGTCTGTCTGTGAATTTGGCCGTAATAGATTGGCATTCTGTTGCCCGCGTTTTCTGATTCATATAAAACACAAACATACTAACATAAACACATTCAAACCATTGAAATGAATTAACGACCTGATGGTGACTGTTCACCCGTAATCTGAATCAGACTTGCTGTTCCATACTGTAAAGTGGACATCTCGTACGAGTGTATGCGCACGTATGCGTGCATATATCTCAAACCTCATGTTGGGTGTATTACCCTTTAAACTACACGTTTGGGTCAAATGGAGTTGTTTAGATCCAAAGTCCGCGAACCATGGAGACTTATCCATCAGTATCGCTTTGTAAATGGGAGCTTGAATCTGAGAAACGTATTCGATCCGATGGTTCTGTGCCCTCACTGTTTACTAAGCACGTTGGGATGAAACAATCAACATGAATTCGGTGCCAAAAGCTACCAGAACGTAAGCTAAGTTTCCCGGTCTATTTTCATTCAGTGATTTCGTAGCCTTTCATGGCCTTACTAACCTAATACTTGAAGTCAAGATTCTTAAAGTATATATATATATATATAATCTTTGGAAAAGAGGTGTTTGAAAGGCCCCACGTAATGATTCAACTTCGTGTGTAACGTGACATAAATTGGCTAGGATGAAACGTAAACTATCATATTTTTACCGACTTGAACTACAAACGTAACTTTGTCAGCTACACTCATTTGCATGCAAATTTGGGTGACTCATTTGAGTCCAGCTAAATCTCTCGATTATGATTGTGTTCTTCAGCTAAAGGTGCTTCACCAAGCCCCTCATGTTTCAGTTGGTACGGTGTTCGAGGCCATTATGAGCAAGAGATACAGCTACATATGAGTCTCCCGTCAAAACCTACTTTGCCATCCCAGATCTTAACTGCGAGCTGTTATCCATAACAATTGATCCGCAGATACTTGTAGGTATCTGCTACCGTCGTGTTGTCAAGGTGTGCCAGTGTACCGAAGAAAAGCCCTATACTGACAACCAGCAATCGTAAGCGAGTTAGTCTCTAATTCGATTGCTCTGTGCTTCTCAGTGTCAGCACGAAGGACTTACAAGGCCGCTCGAATAGTTACCCACTTTTAAAGCAACCGACTGCTTGCTTTGAAGACAATATACCAGTTCACGATTCTTCCCAACCGATTTGTTTATTCTTTTGTGGTTGTAACGCAAACTGTGATTTACACGACCAAAGGCCTGTCGGGAGTAACAGCTGAGTACAAACCGGAGTGGTTCGAAACGAAGGCGACCAAACAAGGCTCACTTAGCTGTCATTCAGCGTCAGACCACCCTAGTCGTCTGATTCGGCTTGACTTACTTTGTGTATCACCGAATCGGCCAAAGACCGTCGATCAGTTTCTGCTGGTGATAGGTGAGGCCATTAACATCCGACTGAACCACGCCGTCCCCCGAAAATTGGCACACATACCCTCAACATATATTATCTCCCTCCTAACCCTTCTGTGAGTAGTCTTATTGGTGTATATGGATCACCCTGTGGAGAAACATAGCTGACAATTCATCTTGGTGTTGTTCGTGTTTCGTTGCATACGTTTCTCCGCCTCGGTCGGTATCTGAACGGCGGATTGCCAGTAAAAATCGTTAACAAAAGAATACATGTTTTCCTTCAGTTTGGCTTCTCACTAACACGGGCATACTAGATTGAAAATCTGAAACCTATAGTTGATTGTCACCCATCATTCTGTCTGTGATCAAGTTTCCCAGAAATCCGTGCACCCTAGTGTATCCTTTACCCTGACTGTTTAAATGGAATCGATTTAACCTTTTCCAGACCTAGCCTTCCTTACCTCATTCCACCACGCGGCAAGAGTTTATCTAACTTAGCGACTTTAATTCCATCTCCCGGCTTATCTATCCGTACAACGTTCAAACAACTCTACCAAGTAAACCATCCTTTATCATACGGATATTCATTCTCTAAACTATTATGGAGACGTCTGAATAATCTCGTTTTCTATTTTTCATCTTACTCTTTATAATCCCAAGTTGCCCAAAATCATGTTCTGTGCGCATCCGCCCAGTCCCACCTAATTATACCTTCCTGTATACAATTTTTAGTCTCCTGTGTCAGTTAAATATCGTGATGTGCGTTTTTGGCTGCATTTTTATCATCTGTTCTTCGACTGGCATTGTTTGCAACACATGAATAATTAAGATAGAGAAGGGGAAGCGTAACCAATGGTGTGGGAAAATCATCTCTTCCCTGGAATATCGACACCCGATGATAAAACAGGTACATTAAGGAACTATTGGGACTATTGGTCATAGTAGACCTGTACCGAAGAGTAGGCACCATGCAGTGACATGCTATTAAAGATTGCGCGGCATAGCTCGGGTGTTTCCTGGTTCAGCTCCACTCGTCAGATGATCAAGAGGCTCAAATGGGGGTGAGTTTCTCCTGTTGTGTTGATTGCGTTTGTAAGCAGCCTAGCTGTTTCACGATGGAATTTGAAAAGTATTTGGTCAAAACCAAACATTACGTAAAGCCTGACTTGAAGAGTCTATATTCTGAATCCTCGACTACAACTTCAGGAAGCAGTGATTCAATTACAGGTCTCTCTCTCTCATGTTATCCACCTTTCAGACGCCTTCCAAACGCAGTCAAAGTCCATGGAGTCTCCTGACCACTCAGACTCTTTGGCCGCGCTCGGAGATGCCATTCAATTGCCTTTGGAGGAGTTGTTTGATCCGCAACCAACAGCATCTCCTGAGCAGACAGGGTCTACATCAGAAACTAAGAAGCATGCACGCAAACATCCAGGAAGACAAAGAAACGTTATTCGTTGTAAGTTGGTTAATGCAAGTGTTTCATCAAAAGTGTGAAATGTCTTACAAAACTCGCGACGGTCCCATACAACTGCCACAGCGTTCTGAGTAGGTAGTTCCGAGTTAGAGTTTATCACAGTGACGTATGCGGCATCGTTTGCATCATTATTTTTGTCTATTTATGCTACCTAAACTTTATCATTCTGACTAATCTTATTACTCAAAGCAGCATGCAAAAAGCCGTCAGGTTGCGCTTCGCAAATCTGTGTCAGTGTATTGTGAAAATCCGAATAGCATTTTCAGTTAATCCATCATGAGCTGTGCTGCATTGTTTGGCCGTTCACTTGACATGCTTCTGGGATTTCATTAAAGATTCATAGAAGCTTTATTTGTTCCGGAAGACTATACCTTTTCAAAAATGGTAAGCTAACTATCAGACATGATTATCTCGGTATACTCAGGGCGGGTTCTCATTTCACGTGAACGACATGGTTTCGGGATTTCTTTTCGTGTCGGACAGTGTTTTGTTTCGTTTTCGAGAAACAGAATGTCAGCTCAGCGGCAAGTGTTCTATTAATTTTCTTTCACCAGCCATCTGGGCAACCCGACAAACTGTGAACGTGTCAGACAGACGGATTTTCGCAAAGACTTCACTCCGGGAATTGGTGATCTATCTTATTTTTGTTATGCTCGCGCTTCTGAGTAAGTTAAGTTTTTGTTCGTAATAGTGTGCGTATGTATGAATATATCTGTAATATGCATACGATTGCGCTTCTGAGTAAGTTTTTGTTCGTAATAGTGTGCGTACGTATGAATATATCTGTAATATGCATACGATAATTCTTGTTTATGCCACACCCAAAAGCACATCAGTATACAATTTTCTAAGGTAGTTGGATCTGTATTCCGTGCATCCTGGTTCATAGTCCACGTCAAAATGTGGCAACTGATAGCCGAGATTGCTCCACCAAAGGGGAAAGCACCATCTTCAGAAGTGATTCTTTGGAACTAATCAAGAGAGGTTTTTCGTGCGAATGCCATTCTATTCTACTCTATTCTTCTATTAGCTCTCAAAACCTTGCATAAATTCTCATTATCTATGTCAAGTTACCTCCGATTTGCGGGAGCGTCGATGAAGCTGGTGTTCGTTGTGCAGTTCGACAGAGAATCTTGGAAGTTAAGTGCAGTGCAATATCTCAAAAACTGGGAAGCTGAAACAAGAAGCTAACTTATGGAAAATATCGTAAAAGATAGCTTCAGCTACGAATCATTTGTTTCTCCCATTTAACATTTACAACTGAGTGTACTCCGCCGAATACCTCCCAGCCTGAGTCACCTGATGATGTAATTTTCCGCAATCACCCACCTCGGGTCACCACAAAGACTAGCTAAGGTCCATCGATTGTCGTTGTACGTAATCTGAGGTTATAAGGAAGACTTATGAGTGATCTTTGAACTGGTGGGATCGAACCGAAAACGCGGGTCAAACTGACTGAACTGATGAAGATTATAATGGGTTCGTTTGGTTTCAAAAGCATATTATTGACATTGTGTCTTGTCAAACCCGAAGTGAATCCGTATAGCGAAAGTCAAATCATTTGTGCTTATGCAAAACAGTGATTGGTGACAAGTGTCAGATGAGACTGGGAACCCCCGTGTAGAAGATGAATGCAGCAGCGGACTTTGTGACTACGGACGATTGCGATCCTCAGATATACGGAAGATAAAATCTGGTACATTTTCTATCAAGCGAATGTCTTCAAGTTTACTTATTTCCAACTACCTAAAACCTTGTCGATTTACTTTGATTTTGGTGTCTTGAATGGTTTGTATGCCAGGTTATGGAAGACATTAGCAGGCGCCGCTTTGTTGCCTAGATTGTTCGTCGTTCAATTTTCTGGCTCAGTTTGAAAATTTTTGGTGTATCTTAGTTTGAAGCACCATTTCGTCCGCCCGAGGTGGGTGACTTACATCGCCAAAGTGGCCGAAATCCTTTCGCGATTTTTCGAACGTGTGATCACCTCAGGAGTTTATTTCGGGTCGTTCTCAGACTCCACCTGCGTACGCATTTGGTGCATTGATCTGTCGCAGAATGACAATGACTACCGCATTAGACCATCGCTAAAGTTTGTGACTTTTCGACTTTGACGTATCACTGAAGTTAGACATTAAAAATGAGAATTACTTAATTCTCGGATAGTCGTTTGAAACTGCAACAAACCAGAGCTGTTGATTATCACGGAAAAATGAGAATGATGAATGTTTGTAGCCATTGTAATCACCAATTTATTATCAGCTCAAAATGTGAGTGTTTAGCATTACTCACTGTTTATCTTTTTATTACCGATTGACCGTTTTTCTTACAACAATATTTCTGCCAGTCGCACTAATCTTAATCTTTAGCTCCAGTCTTACTGTCGAATCCATTTTTGCCTCTAAACCTGCTGTTTTACGATATATTTTCCGATAGTTGTGTCCTCGAACTAGTGTTATAACTTCTAGACCCAGTGCACTACTAATGGGGTTTCTGGAAAGTCTTCGGTAGTCCACGGCTGGTTCTATCCTTCTTGGAGCTCATTAGGTAGGCGCAGTCCCCGAGTTTCAATCAGTCTCATGTTCTAAGTGGACCTAATTCCTACGGAGTCCCTCGAATACCCCCTTATTTGGCCTTGATGGGTGATTCAAATGAATCCAGTTGAATCCCTGTTAGCCGTAGTGCTCCATGCTCTCTTCATTTATTCCAACCGAACTAAACTATTCATAATACTACACCAAACCTTCCATTGAATGGTATGCAGTTTACGCTCTAAAGTCATGCTTCATCACGTAGTGCGATCAACGGTGGTGCCGCAGCTGAATTAATATCGCTATAATTATTTTTGTGTCAGTCGCACTTCTGATGCTGAACAGTGCAAGCTACTTCTACTATACAAGCGTGTTCAATTTGGTGGTCGGACCCTATCAGGAGAACTCGACTGTGAAGGCCGTTGACCTTTACGGTGAGATCAAGGACCTAGACGATATATGGAAGGTAAGTTCCCATTTCGATCATCGCAATGATGCGGTCTTGTCACGCCTAAGCGTCAACAGTAAAAGCCAAAACAGACATTCTGAAGTTACATGCTTCCGTAAAGCTGACTTTCATTGAAAAAGCCGGTTTTCCAACTTTAACAATCAGTCGAATTGACTATTTTATTTTTACATTGCAATGAAACCACAAAATTCGCCTCACGAAATGACGCAATACTCGGTATTGCAAATTATTTGGTTGATCTGGGTCGTGGCATCATCACGTACTGCGATCAACGGTGGTGCCGCAGCTGAATTAATATCGCTATAATTATTTTTGTGTCAGTCGCACTTCTGATGCTGAACAGTGCAAGCTACTTCTACTATACAAGCGTGTTCAATTTGGTGGTCGGACCCTATCAGGAGAACTCGACTGTGAAGGCCGTTGACCTTTACGGTGAGATCAAGGACCTAGACGATATATGGAAGGTAAGTTCCCATTTCGATCATCGCAATGATGCGGTCTTGTCACGCCTAAGCGTCAACAGTAAAAGCCAAAACAGACATTCTGAAGTTACATGCTTCCGTAAAGCTGACTTTCATTGAAAAAGCCGGTTTTCCAACTTTAACAATCAGTCGAATTGACTATTTTATTTTTACATTGCAATGAAACCACAAAATTCGCCTCACGAAATGACGCAATACTCGGTATTGCAAATTATTTGGTTGATCTGGGTCGTGGCATGTCGTAGAAAAGAGAGAGAATTTAGATTCGAAAGTTTGATGGCCAAGGCAGCGAATTCGAATCGACTATGTATCAAGAGTGTGGACAAGAATTGCTGGTTGAAAGATCAGCATAAAGTTGCCAGGAGCTCTTTGACAGACCTCAGTCGGTTTCACCCTTTTGATGGCTCATCATGTAGGTGCAACCCTCGAAGTTCCGCCAAACTTTTGCTCTCTTTCAGAGATTTCTGGAAAGATTTCCCTTACTAAAAACGGGAGGGCAAACTCTGAATAGCAGACACATAACAACACACCTGAACAGTAGTGTACGACTAATCGCCTGCCTTGGTTTCTGATTGACGTGCACACAGGTCAAGTGTGCGTGAGAGTAATTAGCAGTTGGGACGGGAGAGTCAACAGTCAATGAGGAAGGTTGGGACGCGTCAATAACATCATATCTTTGTTCATACACCCAGTTGTGTGCACAGAATAAAGCAGCCAGACTGACATCATACGATGGTCAATGCGGCACGAACACACTCTTGTCTACATACTTCAAAATTTTATGTGCACCTAAGTACTGTCTTAGAACTCAGACCTCTATAGGAATAAGATAGGGTCCTCATTCAGAGTATGTGGCACAACCCTTAGCCTGCATAACCGGAAGGTTGTGTATGTCAGGCCCATGCCCGTTTGTCGGCGAGTGGGAAAGGCTCGGTGCAGCCGAGTGGGTAGCTGAATTACGAAAACCTGTCGTACCACGAAAAGTACGCCAGTAACAATCCTAAAAAAGCGAAACGCTGGATTCAGCATCCGAGACCCACAAATGGCAGGGCTGATTTCCTCTCACATACCTAGCAACTTCCATACACATTTATGACAGTCACCTTATGGATTAATTATTTCGATGGAACATTTCATTTTATTCCGGTTGAATAGACCATCCTTATTTCTGTTACATTCCTTTTTATGGCTCGCCGTGTGATAGTTCGTCTATCTTTCCAGAATCCAGTCACTGGAGATCTGGTGATCTGGGTGGATATTGTAATTATGCTGATCAAGCAGACCTTTAACTGCCTGAGGAGAATGTTTTAGCAAGTGTTCAAATATCTCCATGTCTTGGTAAGTAAAAGTAGCTTGGCGACAGATATTAGCAAGGTGTGGATTGTAAAAAGTGCACGAGTAAGCATAAGTGCGCACCAATCAATGAGAATTACTTCGCTGCACCACTACTGAAATTTTCAGCTGAATGGCGACTCGTTGAGTTTAATTCCCGTTATTCAAGAGATGAAATTTTATTTCGAGATATAGCTTTGTTATAAATGGGTTTGGGCACTAAAGTCTACTCCGTAACAGAGATCGGTCAAAATGTATGGACCTGTATTCACATAACACTTCCCTCTGCAGTCACCTTGCTGTCCAGGTTCCGGTTTTCTACTCAATCCACACTAGACCTCGAGTTGTGCCCTAACAGCCTCTTAGAAGCACCATGCTTCACCAGGATTTTAACCCCCGATTTTCCGATAGGCAAGAGGAATGTGCGACTGCTTCTTTGGTACAAGCTGGAAGCACCCGAGCCCTCACCATTAAATAGATCAATTAGCCGCACAATGCTCTTAGTTGCAAAACCTCTGCGAGTGGAATAAAAGTTTTGTGCCAAAATGTTGGATCTTGTTGTGCATGTGCTCAAACCAAAATGTATCTTGATCTACGCTCCTATTTTTGAAGCTCACCAAGTTTCATTCTCCTCTGAAGCAATCATACCTCTGGCGGAAAAGTCTGGTGGAATAATTTCCCAGCATCGCTGAGACTCAGGGATGCTCAAACGGGGTTCAAAAGTTTGGACTGGTACTCTGAACTCAGTTATCCGATTGCTTTAATCCATCAGTGACACGTCATAGCTCTTAAAAATGATATTCCATCGTGTGAATACTGAGCGTCTCTTTAGACCTGCGAACATGCCTACATTTTAGCCATATGCGTGGTCTCCGGGACACGTAGACGAAGAGCCAGTGGGGTACAGTGGTTCGTTTGGTGCCCTCAAGAGGAGTGGTCTAGTTGAAACTGCTGGCAAGCTTAAGGTGGGCTTGAATAGGAAGAAAAAAATACTCAGTTAAGCCTCTCATCAGCACCAATGCATTTTGAATGTGAGTGGGTTTCACCAAATTTGAAGCTGACAAGCTGAAAAAATGGGTTCAGATGTGAGCCGGAAAATATACTTTACTCACTTTTAAACGCCTGAAACTTTCACCACAAACCTGATTCTCCAACATTTGAAAATGCGCACCATCACGCATAGAGCTTGGCACTATATCGAAGTACTGGTATGTCAATGCGACAATGGGTGGCAGATCAGATGACTGTTTCTCACCTAACTTAGCAGTTTGTAAACTTTTCGTCACCAATTGTGTGTCATTGGTGTGTGATTGGGTGATGACGTCCCTGTAGTTGCAAGTAAATTTCCCAGCTCGGAAAACAGCTAAACAACCACCCGATCGAAACCAATACGCTGTATTACGTCTATACAAATATGCTGTTTACTTGATAGGCAAAGAATAGATCAACAAAGTTGGTTCAAATAAACTATTCTTATTTCTAGTATTCATCTTTCAAATGTTTGCGGTGAGGAAGCGATATGACTGACAACTTCTCTCTCTCTCTCGTCATTTTGATTTGACGATAATTCGATGTTCATCAACCCTTGGTCTTCATTCCACAAAATTAACCCAACCCTCATCGAAAGGCTTATAAGAGCCATTCAGTTGTTGTTTCCGTAGTTAGAATTGTTAGCTATCTTAAACTCTCAAATCATGGATGGATTTGAACGCGTAAACTTTGGAGTCGTAGCTAATAGTAATTGCCGGGTTGTGGGGTGCTATGGTATGTCCTGGTTTCAGTAGTTTGAAGATCTGACTTTAGAGCCTTAGTGATTTGGTTTATACGATGTAGCACATTTGCCTGTCCTGTACCAAAGAATAGACATTCATACGTGAACGATTGATGCTAAAGTTGTCATTTTATATTTCGACACTCCTCAAGATGTGTATCGTACACAACTACTGCTCTTCATCTAATCATCACCATCATCAGTGACAGTAACATGGCATGGGAACACTGATGCTTCATCACCGTACAAGCATGTTAGTTTACTTAAGTTAAAATTTTCGGAAGCGCATTCGTAGTGAAGAGTAAGAAGTGTTTATGGGCGATTCCCAACACATCTAAGGTTCACCATTCTCGAGTGTCTTTGGAATATAATCTCCACGAATCTAGGAAGCCGATTCAATATTGTTTGCCCCTCAGGAAGTAGAATAACGGCAATGCTGTTTTTAACAAGTCCCTCGAACGGATGTTGTTTAGAAGAAGAGTAACCACATATATATATATATATATATGGATATATATATCCATATATCCACCAATCTGTTAATTTCCTATACAAACTGCGGCGCGAGCAACTGAAACAGGACCCAGTTAAAGTAGCTCATTTGAGTTGTGTTGTATCTTTAGGTTTCTTTTCAGGCAACACACATTATCTGTGTGGAGATTCCGTCCTGTAAGTGAAGCCAATCCACGCTGAAAAGCCGAGAAGCACTGTACAGCTGTTTCATCCTTATTGGGAATCATCAGCAGTGCGCATCTCACGAAGCTCCGAAGAGTCTCGAACCCGTGACCTCCCGGCTAGTAGTTTAGTTTGAACGCTTAACCGTTCGGCCACGAGTGGCTGATCAGTAGTGTGATTAGCTCTCACATTATCTGTTTTAGTCCACATTTGCAAAACCCTCTTCTGTACTTTCCTCTCTACAGTACATCCAGGCACAGATCTTCGGTGCACTCTTTCCCGACACATGGTATAATCGACGCAACGTTAGCTTCAACGAAAAAGAGTTTATTGGATATGACAATAAAATGCTAGGGGTCCCGCGACTCCGCCAAGTTCGTGTGACCTCAACTCCATGCGACGTTCTCGGAGTAATGAATAACGTTGAATATGTTTGCTACCCACCGTATTCGGCCAGCACAGAAGGAAAGAAACCAATGCAACCACAAGGAGGCGTCATACCTAACCATACTAAAAACGCGTAAGCATATACACCAAGGCGTTCTATGCTGAATTGTCACAACGTTCAATCCATCTTAATTTGTCAGATTGAACTTACACGGTGCTAATTACAACAGCTAATGTCACAAGAAAATATGAGTTATTGAAATATTACCATCGTGACATAGGGAAAGCTAAGCGAACACGTGTTCTCAGCGATTCATCTTCTGGCGGCACAGATCATATATAAAACTAAACGTAATAAAATGGAATCACTTACGGTAATGCGGACAAGGGAATAGGAGAATCTATCTTAGTCAGGGCAGAAGTCATCCAACACAGCTTTTTGTCTGGGTTATGAGGGAGATACGGTTTGATGTGTGCTATATTAGGATGAGAGGTGAACACTGGACCAGTTCAACTGGAGGACTTCAAATCTCTTCTGTGGCGCTGATTCTGAGCGTGAAACCACTGCGACCCTACTCCTCACACTCTAACTTTGTGAACTGAAGAGAGTTGTCAAAGCCCTCTAGTTGAACTGGCCCAGTGTTCAACTCTCATCTGACTATGGTACACACCAGGCCACATCTCTCACATAACTCAGGCAGTTAGCTGTGTTAGATGACGTTTGCCCCGACTAACGCGCATATTGGTGATTTGTTGAAATATTGGTAGCTCGGGTGAGTTTATTGGTTGTTGATCAGGTGGCTGTTGATCTGTTCGCCGAGCTTGGCAACTGGCTTGCAAGCGTTTCGTCACCATGCGAGGAGACATCATCAGTGCGTAGTTGAGTGGGTGACTGACCCACGTATGGTGACGGAACGTTTGCAAGCCAACTGCCAAGCTCGGCGAACAGATCAACAACCAATAACGCGCATATTCCATCACCGTTGCATCTGCTATGCGTAACCGGTTGGATTTTATAACGCTTGACTTCATATATGATTTGTGCTGGCTATAAGATGGATCACTGAAAATAATGTTCGCCAAGTCTTCCCATTTCCCTATGTCATTCCAACGAGCCGATATCAATAAATATTTCCAGTTATTCTTTCTAACCAAATGATTTCCGTTTGGTGTTTGGTTACGTGATACCAAAATCCCTGAATAGTTTTCTGATGATTGTAGATCTTGATCAGGAATGTTTTCTGCCGTAAGGGTTTTCGGTCCGAACAGATGGCCGAATCTGAACTCCTTGCTGTCTGTGGAATCTTATTCGCAACTTTGCAGCTATGCTATTCTTCTAAACATTGAATGGGCTCAATATTTCAAGTAAGGTTTGTTCACGTTGGAACCAGTTACGTGACTCAGTTTTCGTGTACAAGAACCCAACACTGACGCGTTTCAGAGACGAGCGTTCAGCTGAAAGTTTCCTGTCTGACGTTTCCATACTGTTTTGTACACGAAGACAGACCTTGGATAAAGAAATGGAAGCAACCTGTCCGGAAAATAAAGTAGAGAGCAGCGGCATTTTAGCTTGCCAGGCTGCATATTATGTTGCAAAGTGGTAATTAACAACAAGAGGGGCGCCACTTTGGTGAATGAATTTAATTTCAAGCCTTTTGAGCTTGGCAGTCTTTTGGGACAGGGTAGTGAGTAGTTTCGTAGAGAAATTCTCACCGCATTACATTTAGAAGTCGTAAATTGGAATTCTTCAACGATTTGGCGTCTAACGTCGAACAACTTCGTTCAGCGAGTCCAATGTTTATTATATGGCTCGACTGGGTGCTATCTTCGACATGATCAGAAGGTGCTCTAGTGTTTCGAAATACCGTCATTCAAGGTTCTATCACAAATGTGATTGCACAGTAGGAAGTAAGCGTCTTGAGAATATGGTCGAAACGTTCCCATATTAGATGAAAACCTGTATGCTGGCCTTATATTAGTTTGTGATTGGCAGTGTGATTCACAAGAAGGCAGAAGCTAGGGCAGTCGGTTCGACTCACACTAATTCACTACTGTCATGGTTTTCAGAACCTCCAACTTACAGTTCCAGAGAACTAAAGGTTGGAGTTGAGGTAATCCATCCAACAGGGGCTTGGTTTTCAATTCACACTTGACAGAGCAAGGCCTGGAGCAATGTAAAGGGAAAATTTTCCTTATTTGAATAGAGTTGTGTATAGAGTAGCTAGGTCCGAAATAAGGACTGATACGTTAAAGCACTGTAATTTTGTTTGAAGTACTTGATTGCGAGGTGCTATTTTGTACAGCATCTAGGGTGAGGAAAGTAAAATGCAAACTTACCTGTCAATTGAAGTGATCCTTCATTACTCTAGTGATCGCTTGAGTTAATAAAAGTGCATGCTATTCTCCTCTCAGCTTGTCTCATATAAACTGTGCCATTTAAACCTGCAAATATGAAGGCAATGGGCCTCTGGAAGTCCCGAATGTAAGAAAATTTTCCATTTGGCAGCATGTTTGACCACTCAAGCTTCGCGTTCAAACAGAAGACTTGGATTTTAGCTATGATTTAAAGGTGACTGACATGCACCGTACACGGTGATCGATGAAGGTCAGCGGTCTTCAACCAATATGAGGCGAGCAGTTAAAATCCATTTCAGATACCATATCAATTCACCGCCTGCCGCAGATGAGTTGATGGTTAGACACGAACTATTTCGTGAGGCCAATAACAGCCTAGTACCAGAATCAACAGAAATAGACCAGTACAAAGTGCAGCAGTGAAATCTCACTCTGGATCGATGGGTAAATACGGTTTCATCAACTTGAGGCCATGACATGGTCTCACAGACAAAATAGTAGTTGCCAGCTGCACTTACCGTGTCGAAAACTGTTACTGCTTAGGTATGGTCTTCAGCATCCTTACCATAATCACCATCGAATAGTTCTCAAGTGATGCGCAACGGCTGGCCATGGATTTCGGGTTCCCAGGTTGGAATGCAAGCTTCTTTTGCGGAAAACCAATTAGTCCTTAGTGGACAGTGCCCTTAGTTACTTTATGTTGATGCATATAAGCCAAACAGAGATTTCAAATTCCGTCTTGTGTTCACCAACCTACTGGAAACACAGCCATCACATATGTGGTTCAGGGATGTGTACGGTCACTAGAGGGAGGGACATCCTCCTGGAGCTCTTAGAAGGAATGGTGTGACATCCATTTTATTCTCTCAGTTCTACTTGGCGTGCCTTCTATAGTATGCAGCGCACTACAGACTGTATCTTGACCCCATACCCACGTATCTTTCCACGCGTCCTTAGATGGAGATATCAAACAGCTGGTCAGTTGGGATCCGCCGCTGTCGCTGCGCAGTATGGGGCCTACCCAGGTTCGGGATACGTTCAGGACTTATCCCGGTCCCGAAATACTTCCGAAGAGATCATTCAAGAACTGTTTGAAGGAAGGTGGATTGACGAGGCTAGCAGAGTACTGTTTCTGGACTTTACCATTTACAACGCAAACATCAACATGTTTGTGATTGTCAAGTGAGCTTCTTCCTCGATGATCATCAAACAGCTTGCTTTCTCCCCCTTTCTATACATATTCTCTTCATGTTTCTTGTTACCCGCCCCGTCAGCACACAGTAACTTCAACATCAGTTATTCGTACGCTGCACGAAACGTATATGAAGCCCGGATCCCTCACAACGCAGACACTTATTCCGGGTAACCAAAACAATGATAGGTCATTTCATCAACACAATTATTTCCCATTTACATGCTGGCATAAAGTGATTCTCCTACATAACAAAGCTCTCCATGAAGACAACCTCTCTGAAGTGCAATCATTTGTCCCACACGATGAAGTTAGATCCAGTTTCCGAGGTTGCAATAGATGTGTACTCTGTTCAGAGGCGTGCCTGGAAGTCACATCGTTTGCAATTAAGATAACCTGAATGTTAATTAGAAAAGCTACTGGAACTCGACGTCCACCAAAAGGATTATTGAACATCTTACCATCTGCAGGCACGTTGTTTACGCTAATTTTGACTTGTTTCTTCTACCTTCAATGATCAGAACACGCATTTTTATCTCATGGCTCATTGAGCGTCTCGCCAAATTTGAAGTATTCTTGATTAGAATGTGTCGAAATATTCAAGAATACAGGCTCCTTTAGGATGCCACATCCACTACGGACATGAATACAAAAAACCGGACATGCTTTTACCATGATACCCAGCCTAATGGCGAGGCAGTCGGATATCGTTATCGTATCGTGCAACACATTTAACTGAACAATGAAGGAGTATACAACGAGTTGAGTGAGGCTTAGCCTCTTGTCTTGGGGTTTAGGTTAAGTGAATTGTTGAATGTAAACCAAGGATGCAAATTCGGGGCTGCAAGGGTACGTCGTTTTGGTTGAAGTAAGCGGCGACCGACTGTGTCTGCTTTTGTAACCTTTGTAGGGTAGGCATAGGTGGACCGAACCCTATATAACGGTTACGACGGCCGACTGGATAGCGCGTTTAGATAGTCGGCTATACATCGCCTAGGGTGGCCATTAGCTCTGATGACGTCAACAGTTTACTCAGGTTCAGAATTCAGTATATTCGAAGGGCAGATTTGTCTTGCTTCGTTCGGTAAGTTGTGAATCTGAGTGTAACTCTGCTTAGGTGGCACGAAACACCCCCCGAGTTCAAGCTGAAACAACCATCCAGCTCATAATGTATTATGTGAACTGATTGCTTTATAACTCTGACAAGAAAGCGTGTTTCTCTGCTCAATGGGATAAAACCGCCCAAAAGAGCATTCTGCATTTGAATCAATGACAGACAATAATCACTCATATCAAATCCAGATTACGAGTTCGGCCTCAAGCTGGGAGGCGATACCAAACTAACTAAAGCTACTCCAGCGATGTACCCCTGGGAGATATTTACAATTCACGACACTTTAGAGATAGGGGATTTTATAGGTGGCCAATCACAATCACTAAGGTGGTAAAAGTAGATCGATCTGAGTGGCGTTTGCACAATGTTCCTGGTCATCATCTTGATAACATGCTGCATTTCCTCAATTTCCTCAAGGCTCATATTTGAACTACCCGTCACCGGAGGCGTCTTTGTCAGCAGCGAATTTCAGCCAGCAAAACTCGTGCGCTATTTGACTGCAACGGACTACTTCGTAATGGCTTGTGAAATTATGTACCTCATGTTCATTCTGTACTATATTGTTGAAGAAATTTTGGAGGTGAGTCAGTTCTTCATTTGTTACTTCCTTTAAGATACAAAGTTGCAGGTGCCATTCGCATGCGAGGGTACTGAGTTTGACTCTGCTCGTCAAGCAGATCTGATAACCACTGCTCTTGAACTGACCCGAATGAGTACCGCATTTCACTACCTTTCACTAGTTAGCCTAAAACCACTGTTCAGCTGCTTTAATTCAGTGGCTTTTAGCATCCAACATAGTCACACATATAAGCCAGCCTAAAGCTGCATTAGCTGACTGGGTATCCTCAAGTTAAGCTGTTCAAGTGACTAACCTGTTCGGCATTCGGCATATCAGCATGGATTGGTTTCACTTGCGCTCTCTATTGAAAAATCCGACGTCTCCACCCTATCAAGAAGCTATAAGTAGCCCAAAGGAATAACAATTCACACGAAGTGTGGACCTTTCCTGCGAGAAGTCCCCACTCGATAGGGCGGTAACACGTGACCAATAAGGATGTGCAGTGCTCCTCGGTTTTTCAATACAAATTGGCTCCACTTTTACACGAAGATGTGTCTAGCCCACCTGCTGTCCAGTTTTGGCAAGCCATAAGACGTAATTCCCAACAAACTTCGACTGAGAATGCTGCGGTACATCTAAATTCTGACCTACAGCCATTTTCTCATGTCACATTCGACAGCCCCACTGAGAAGACTGGAACTACATTTCCCCTATCACAGTCAAACTCGCAAAAATTCAACTACTAGGATTGCCCACATTAGTTAATGAAGTATCAAAAGGCCACTCCTGTTCGCAGATCTTAAACCCGGTACATTCTCAAGGACAATGTATGCTTCGATTATTAGAGTTTCTGCCATAATACCCCTGGTATGGCACTGTCCAATTGTGGTTTATTCTCGTTATAATGTCTTTATATCTACATGCATATCTAACTATCACGGAAAGTGAGGATCACCTTATAACTAGGTTCAGCTATGACTAGAAAGAACGCAGTAAGTTCAGAACAAGTGTGGCTGGTATCTGCAGCGAATGAACCAGTCAGTAGGGTTTGACCTTCTCGGTCATTGATAACAGGGGCTAAATGATTGGCTATGATTTTGCACTATCTGCGTTTTACTGTTTTTAGCTAGTGCATGCATGGATAGGCAAACTGTTGAGCAGGGGGTTGTGGACGTGAGTAGGTGGATGTGCTCATTTGCGCTGACTCTGTGGCCTCCAGAAAGCTGGAACATCATTTCGGTGGCTTACTGGATCTGCCTCAGTTGCTTCGCCGCAATAGATGACTCTCTCCGCCGTCCATGAAACTGAAGATATATCGTCATTGCCCTAACCATCCACTATCTCTCCTTCTCCCTAAGTTGGACGTCCGAAAAAAAACCATTCGCAGCCTCGAGTTTCTTGCAATGAAGTGCCCGAACTGTCGCGACCAACAATGCCGCAGTTGATCATCGTTGTTGAGGTTGATCAAGTTCACCAAGACCGAATCATTGTTAACACTGTCTTTGATGTATCTACGTGCGCAATATTTCTCACTATGACATCAAGCAACCTCTGAGGTATCTGGAGAGTTGAACTCAATGTTCTAAGTTGCATCAAAGTAACAAACGCAACCGGTGGGGCGCACGATGGGCTTAGTGTAGTATCAGCAGATAAAACGCAACAGTACGCTTAGTAACAAACTCGCGATCAGGAGGGGAAACTGCCAGCAAGCTATGGTGTGGTTTGTTTAATAAATTCAACACGGATTCGCAACAGATGATAGATGTTAGTGGCTAACCAGAGGCCCAGTACGAAAGCCTTTGCGCAAGACCCTATTGTTTTTAGTTTCGAATGGCAATGTAATACAGGTCCCTCTTTCGTGCGGGGTTGGCACTGACGATATCTCCTCGATTGATGATGAAACATTTGCAATCCAACTGCCAAGCTCGGCGGACAGACTAACAACCAGGCAGCGCACCCGAGTTACATGTATTCCACACATTGCAACAATCTGAAGGTCCATGAGGCGACTGAAGAAAACAGACCGTTCGGGTCGCATTTACTTTCATAAAAGCCAGAAAAGTAAACCCTACTGCGCCAAAACACTTTTACAGAACCCAACGGAACCTCAATCCAAGCAGATGAATGCCTATGAGTGCCATTTTGTTAATGAGTTGGTAGGTCCTATTCCATTATTCCCTCGGATTTTCTACAGTTCAAACTAAACTAGATAAAGCGTATGGACTAACAACGTTTGCCTTCAGTGATGGATGTACTGCCATCAGAAGTGAGTTATTTGAAATGACAATGACCAATGACGCTTGGCCCAATCGCTATCGACAAAATATTGTTGGTTCCATTTATTCATATATGTATGGATGATACGAATGATAGAGAAGCACCTAAACGACAGTTCATCCGCTTGTTTCACTCAAAATAGGTGACTGAACTATTGTGGGCATCGGACCACACAGAATGCGGAAAAGCCAGTGCGCAACAAAACTTGCGTCATCTCCCTCCATCAGAACACAGAAGTCATTGTTCATGCTTTACAAAGGTGGCTTTTGGTGAAGGTGAATGCAATACTAAGTGTATTTTCAAATGTCTCCGGAACCAGCATTACACCCATTCTTTTGTTCTCGTTCCAGATAAGGAAACAAGGGTTCCACTACTTCCTTGGGGTCTGGAATATACTGGATATTGTCGTGATTTTGCTCTCCATCATTTGTGCCGGATTCACTATCTATTGTACCTCCACCGCATACGAAGTCATGACCAACATGCTAAAAGATATCAATGCTCACCCACACTTCGATCAACTGAGCTACTGGTATGGTCACTGGGTGAGAGCCACGGCACTGTGTGTCTTCTTTGTGGTGATCAAGGTGAGCTGCTTGACCGTTCTACTTAGAGGAATTGCTTCCTGACTGGTTTGACTGTCTAAAAGACGCAATAGGCACCAGTTTAATCTCTTCCAAAATCAAAAGCAAGGCGTCCAAAATCAACATCACTTTCGTGACATCTGGTGGATCACCTTAACTCTGGGCCGCAAGCGGCTGATCAACACATCTTCAAACTTGTGCTCACTCACAACACCCCTGCCCAGCAGCAAACGTGCATCTACACCGGGTGACCTCTCCGATGAAAGTTTCTCTACTAATATCAGGATATTGCCAGGATATTGACACCGAAATCATCTTGGAGAGAGTGTTTTGCGGGGTACAGTTCATGCTTTGGTGGTGCGAAATGAAGGAGTCCACTGAGTACTGTGGGGTCTTTGCGCTTTCCCGGCTGGGGCCAGCCTGGTTCTCTGGGTAAATGGCTAAAACCTTAGTAGACATGGCAGTTGATCCGTCCCAGTGGAGCGAATGCTGTCACATCCTAGTCGGACTGTCTAGCTAAATTGTGTTTGTCATTGTACGATGAGCTCATTTAGCGTGAGGCCCACAAAGGGTTAATCCGGCTGATGTCGACTTAATTCGATGGGTATATTTTTGGCTGTTCTTGGCCGATTTCTGCGAAACAGAAGACTGCTTGTGATAAATCCCACCCTCTCTCTTACATTCCACTCTTTACTAGACACGCTTTTTCATGGTTTTATGGCAGTAACTCATCGGCATCTAATAATTGTATGTTGCCGTGGATGACGATTATGATGGCGATAATAATGACCTAACACATTAGTTTCTGATTTTCTCACGCAGCAACTGAGAGTGAAGTACTATTTTCTCATTCTCAAAGACTAACACACCAGTTTTTTTTATTAAGTTTCTGTACACACCGTCTTCCTCATTACATGTTGCCCACCGCCATTTTGCGGTGACCCGAATCACTGTACGTTTGACACAGTGAACTGAAGTAAAATGAACGAAACCAGTGAATTTATTTTCGCTACAGAATGTTGGACGAGAACCTGCTGTTTACGGGGAACATGTAGGTTGTAAGTTTACTGGATCACACTCTCCATGAAACCTCACAATCAGTTCTCGTGCCAGTACATATTTGGCTGACTCAAAAGCTTCTTCCAGTTTAAGGCTAATTGGTCACAGCCACGACTTTGAATTCACAGCCTCTTCGTGGTAGCCGTCTAGTCGGCACAATGGATGAGACTGAAAAGAGTCTCTCAACCTTCTCCAGTTGCTTTTACACGACCAAGGGGACATTACTTATCGCTTGGCCGACATCAAGTAGGCATCGCCAGAATGAACCTGTCGTGTTTTTTTGCTGGCTATGATCATAGACATATGAGGATATACGCACAACACTCCGTTTCCCTATCAGCGTGATGGATGGGTCCCTCGGAACCTGGTTACTAGCTGAATCTCCCATTTATGATGCTTCCAGCTGGGTTCGAGGTGAGTCTCTTGCAAGACCAGATTTATTTTCAAATGACTGAATTTAGCTAAATTCGTGCAATTTGAGTTCAGGTAGAACATGAAGTTGACGGAAGCTCGGGAAACTCGCCTATCTAAAACCGGCCGTGAACTGTCGAAGAAGTTTCAGCAACATTCTGAGTAGTGCATCACGTTTATGATTGTAAATGTATTCTCGACGTGTGACACCAGATGAAGTGAGGTTGTATTCACTATTTAAGTTCCACTAACGTGTTTACGTTCATTCCTGATCCCTCCATCCCCTTCTTTAGATTTTTAAATACGTCAACTTTGATCGTTCGTTGGGACAGCTGACTAAAACCTTGGGTACAGCTGCGTTCGACATGATTGGCTTCATGATCATGTTCTGCATTGTCTTCTTCGCCTTTGCTCAGTTGGGCTATCTGGCCTTTGGAACAAGCATTGAAGGATATCGTTCGTTTACACAAGCTTGGTAAGCAGCGGTTCCACTTAACTTTCCTCCTTCAGCATCTTTCGGATTTAGTTTTCATGGTGCTTATTTGTGCCTCCTATGGTACAACGGGAACTAAGTTTTGGATCTGTTCCAAACGATGAAATCGGCATTTACTTCCTTTTACCGCGACTGATTTAAGATTAGGCGAGTTGGCTTCAGCTTGACGGCGCTCGTCGATCACTGACATGATTCGCACCTATTGTTTCTCCAGTTTGGCGCCGCTGACGTCCGATGTGAGATTTGGGGAGATGAAACCAACTTCCCCCTTGAAATTCGTGGGATAACACTAAAGTTGGTAGGGCCTATGGCTAGAGAGACTTCATATAAGGTCATCCTCTTAATGCAGATATATTTAAACCAAGTGACGCACACAATTATCTGTGCGATGCAAAAACTGCCACTTTGGAAAGTCAATCACGGCGCCTAGTTTTCAGAACAATTCTCAGGAAGCGGCGACCGAAATCACCCAGCTACCACTGCACCGCTGTGGTAATTTCTCTTACCCACGCCTAAGAACAACACTATTGCCGGTTTGGTACACCTAGATTTTAATTCTTAGGATCGCCAGCCCTTTGGTACAAGGCACACTTCATCAGCTGGATGTCACTTATCACTGAGATAACTGTGATTGCGCTGCGAAATCGTCATTGATGTGAGAAAGGACACCAACGTCATGGTTATCAAAACTGTCACTTATGTGTTTTATCCAGTTAATTCAGTCCGAAAACCTATTTCTTGCATGGAATTTGGATTCTGAGCCAATGAACCTAGAAGCCGTTCCACAGAATCATGAAATGAGGCTGTTTTGTGCCTGATTTTGACCAGCTAATACGCAACCTTCTACGCCTCAAGTGTAACTGGGAAAGCTCTCAGAAAAAAACGATATTACAATGTCATGCTACGTGAACACTCTCAATACCAGGAAATTTGTCGAAATACGTACAATACGAGCCTTCAGGAATATAACTGAAATGCTTTTTAACTATCTAGTGGAAAACTTGATAACTAAGGTCTACACTTCTGAATGAAATATACGATTTCGTAGAGCTCCACAATGTAGTACACCAGCAAGAATTAACGGCTAGTAGCGAGCAGTCTTTCGTACTCCGGTTATAAATCTAATAGGGTTATGATGGATAGGAAAGTAGCTATCCAAGTAAACAGGGGATCTCAATTAACAAAATTCAGGTGACTTTGATGAAAAGTGATCAACAAATACTGCTTTTCGATGTTCATAAAATATCTTTGTTTTGGATGAAAAAAATAACAGCTTTTTGGTCCTTCATGGAAGCGGGGGCTACAAGGTAAATCCTCACTACTGAGGGACACTAGTGTCCATCGTCTTGTGGATTCTCATCATTCGAGCTAAGTTCTTGCGAAAATTATTTTGTTCGCTTTTCGTCTGGTCACCGAGTTTGCATACACGATACACAGTTCAGATGGCTACATACGTCTCGGGGAATAGGCGGACCATTTTAGAACTGGAACTATCAAATTTAGTCTGCATCGCTGGATGAGAGTTAGGAAATAACTTACGAGCACTTGTCTTTCGGTCCGACTGAAGTCAGTTCCTCGGTGAGAGACCTTTCGAGCGCGCATTCGGACGTCGCATACTGTTTTCCACAGGGAATTGTTGTGTAGTTCTTCATCTGAGCTTTTCAAGAACAGATCAAAGTGTCCTTCAGCAACGTCCTATGAGTTTGTATTTTGCCCTCATATCGCCTTGCAGCTACACGCTATTCCGCATTATGGTCGGTGATATCGATTTTGTGGCTCTCCGGAGAGCCAACTTCTTTCTTGGCCCGCTGTTTTTCGTGGTATTCATTTTCTTCGCCGTGTTCGTCCTACTGAACATGTTCCTCGCTATTGTAAACGATGCATATGCCAACGTCAAGGAAGATTTAGTGAAGCAGAAGACCCAACTAAAGCTCAAAGACATGGTGAAAAAGGTCAGTTCTGCTCAATCTTGTTGTTCCACTGAACCGTCCTTGATCTTTAGTCTAATGATCTTCAAGTGTCGCAGTGTACTTCAAACAATACGATGTTGTTGTTGAAGGGATTTGAAGAACGACGTGGCTAGAGAACGGATACGCTAAGAAAGAAACCAACAAGGTTTTAGAACAAACGTAAAATTCCACACTGTTGATGCATGATGCGTAAGGCCCAGTTAAGTCAATTTTTACAACTCCAGTCATGTTTGCCTCTTTTGTTTCTTCACTCTATGTTAAACTGGATATGCTCCATGGTGTTGGAGTTCCTCACAACATCCATGAATTGGTTCAAGTTTAATTTATGATAGTATTACCACTCCTTCATGGTCCTCACGGAGCTGCACTTGCTGAAGGTATATTCAAGGAGGCACAGAAGGGCTGGTCAAGTCACAGCCTTCATTGCTGTGTGATGGTTGGCAGGGACATAAACACGTCTGATGTGAGGAAGTATGAAATAATATACCCCTATTTGTGGAGTACTTTTTAGTTTCGCGCTGCATCCTGTATCAACGAAAGCTTAAAAAACATTCCGTTATTATACCAGTATGCCAATACTGAAGTATATTAGATCTCAGGCAGTCGATCATTGCTAAATTCACCCGTTCTTTGAGATATTGGTACCAAGATCGCCACAGTTGTGATATGGTCAGCTTTTCTCCGAACTGAGTATATAACGCTTGTTTTACGCAAAAAAGCCGGGGCATCAGACCCACATATGTCCAGTCGGTTACGGCTTTATGCGTAACCACTCCTGCTCCTTCTCGAAGCTGATGGAAGTGCTGGGAGAAACTCCTCCAACCTGAATAGTTTTGTTTTCACGAGCAAAAGTCACACGGGTCAAACGAGCGAACAAGGTGGCAATTCAAGAAATAACACCTCAGGCTGTTCCAACATCTTTTCTGCTGCAATACTGAAGATATTGTAGTCAGAAATCACTAACGCAATTAAGTGACTTATTTAGGCGGAGTCACAGCGAGAAAAACTGTGAATTCTATTCATGCTTAGCGTGAGAGAGAAATTCCGCAATTGCGACACTTTCTTCACGAGATTCTAGTTGTGTGGGGAATACGCATTCAAGGATGAAATTCTCTCAAGAAATTGAGTTCAGTGATCAAAAGGCACGTCTTCTGATCGCAACTGCCAACTTGACTCGAAAATTTCTCAGGTCAGGCTCCATGACTATGTGCTTTTCACACATCCAATGATGTACTTATATACTCATTAGTAATTGATGTGTATTGTTTTAAAGCTGACCTAATCTGACTACCCTTTCAATCCTCATTTCGGAGCCATATTACTTGGTAGATTACTCGTGATCGAAAATTGGGAACCCCAGAATTTTGCTTAATGGCTCAAATCCTTTTTGCCAACTATAAGTGGTCGGCCTCAATCGCATTGTCTTTAGCCCTGATTGGGACCATTCATGTGGGAAAAATTGTTCGGTGAAGTGATGCTCAGGATAGCGATTCATACATTCACTCTCAAAATCCCTAACCATTGCCTTCACCTGTGTACATGGCGTCTATTGTTCCAGTGAATATCACTTGTAAATCTCCAAACCGGTGGCTCTGAGAATCGTTAAAGCTTACAGACAATTAGCTGACAGGCAGCCACCTACTTAACGGGCTTTAACTCATGAGCTAAATTAGACAACAGCCAACCACTTTCCTCTTACTGAGGTATGAGCTGCAGTTGACTAATTGCTCTAGTCCACTTTTCTCCCCCATCTCTCCGCTATAGAGCGCAAAGGAAATGATCAAACGGATGCGCAAAAAGTCCAGCAAAACTCTTGTGCAAATTCTCCGCTCAACAGGCTTGTTTGGCAGGGAAGTTATTCCCTTTGAGGATTTTAGAGCGGCACTGAAATGGTAAGTCCTGATTGATTGCTGATACTCGGCATTATCGATGCTGCACCATAGCCTGATCAATATAGTCAGGTTTGATAATCATCTCAAGGTAGTCAGTTTTCGCAGATGTCATAGTAGACCATCCGTGGAATCGACCAGTCTGTGTTTCGCGGTTATACTCTAGACGGTTATCAAAAACAGTTCGAGCATTGACATATTGGATTGATGCACTCTGCACGCTGAATTCTGATGGAGTGTCGCTCATATACTCATTCTCGAAATACTGACACCCTCGGTGCGTTTATTGATTTTTGTCTATTTTTCGAGTTTGGAAATAGCCTTTTGAAAGTTTCAACACCAGCTGAAAGTTAACTGATACCACTTGAATGGAATAAGACCTCATGTACATTACGAGAGTAGTCGGTGACGAATCACACAAGGTTCACCATGCCCGTCGTCGATAAGGGGACGTTTGATCGACCTATCATGCTCAGGCGTGCGTCCATACAAAAACCACCTACGGGCTACCTATCCGAACTATTTCTGGTTGAGCCCAAAGGTAAGAATATATAGGTACTTTAAGGGTGATTGTTGTAATATGGATAGCCCGAGCCGCTAATTAACGGACCAGGCCGAATGAGCATGCATGACAGAAGATAGCGTCATGATTGGATCGTGTTTGTGTAAACCATTCAGCACCAATTTACTTCTCATGCCTGTAGGAGTTATTGGAATTTTTTCCTACTGACTCACCAAAACGGATACACGGAATTCTAATCATAGACGTTTACGACGAAGCTTGTCGTTCCTGAGTGCTTAAATGGGCTTTTTAGAAGGTACGTCTTGTTGGGAACTGGGTACATGCTTCCCGTCCAGGTTCGATAGCAAAATCAGTAAAATACCTTCGCCCATCTCTCGGATCACAATATGCACTTGCCAGTAGTCGTCATGTCACAGTGCGCCAATGCAGGCAACATGCTGCTGTTGATCAGAAACGTCAAGAACCGGCACCTTTTCCTCAGGCAAAGATAGCTTGGGCAGACCAAATTTTATGTTTTCTGTTTCCGGGTAATTTTCACCCACCGAAAACTTACGGTAAACAGGTTTGAACAGAAAGTGTCACAATATTCGCCATGGAAATATTCAGACTAAAATAAAACTAATTCAAGCGACTTCCCCATGCCGAATAACTCCTGAAATATCAATATAAACACGAACTCTCACCCAACTTTACAGCCATGGCTATGGAGACACAGAAATAACAGCCACCTTCGTCAAGTACGACACAGACGGGGACAATTGTTTGAATATGAAAGAGCAACGACAACTGGAAGATGACATCGAAATTGGGGTGAGTATGACTCCGACTGCTGCTATCAGTTGCATCACATAGGTTCTCCTATATAACCTTCCTGTAACTGAATGACGATGCACATTTCCTATCTGTCGGTTCAGGCTCGTACTACATTGAAACAACAGGAGGAAGATGAAGGGCATGGAACAGATGAAGAAGGAGAGCAGGATGTAAATGCTGATCCGGATGCTGTTGAGGTAAGTAATTTGAAGGACGGTTCCGTAAGATCAGTGTGAATCGCGTTAAAGTGTAAACGTATCCTAGTATTCAGACTTTAAGGCACAATAGTGGTGTGGGTTTAAAGACCTCTTCTTTCGTGTCAGGTGTAGGGATTACAGGTGTTCACGACTAGGAAAAATTCTGGTGGCATAGTTTTCTTGAAAGAGTTTTGTGAAGATACACAAACGTGTACGCAATATAGCTATCCGAAGTAGACATTGTCACAGTAGCCATTCAATTTGTACATTGAAACAGCAGGAGGAAGATGAAGGGCATGGAACAGATGAAGAAGGAGAGCAGGATGTAAATGCTGATCCGGATGCTGTTGAGGTAAGTAATTTGAAGGACGGTTCCGTAAGATCAGTGTGAATCGCGTTAAAGCGTAAACGTATCCTAGTATTCAGACTTTAAGGCACAATAGTGGTGTGGGTTTAAAGACCTCTTCTTTCGTGTCAGGTGTAGGGATTACAGGTGTTCACGACTAGGAAAAATTCTGGTGGCATAGTTTTCTTGAAAGAGTTTTGTGAAGATACACAAACGTGTACGCAATATAGCTATCCGAAGTAGACATTGTCACAGTAGCCATTCAATTTGTTACTGGTTGCTCCTAACAGCACAACGTGAATTACTCAATTACTTAGCTTGGTCAACAACTCGCACTTACTTTCTGCCAGCAATTTAGTGTAACAAATAAGTAGTGTTCTGTTTTCTACTCTCGTGGTCACAACAAATGAATCCCAAACTTTTCCGGATAGTGACGACAACCAGTTTATTGCGTACAAAGAATACGTGACGGCGCGCCCGGATTCGCCCCCTGGAGAGGTGATACTTTAATCCGAAGTTTAGCCTGTAAGGGAACTTTCCTTCGCCATTGACAGCGGCACCAGATGAGAATACTGGTGTCACATTACATTACAATCGTGTCAATTTATTGACTAAAGCCTCATGACCGAAAGAAGGAAGAGGTGAGGAAGGGGACCAAGGGCTAGCCTACCATGAAAATCCGAGGTGCCTACACCACCACAGCTAAATCAGACGATCTGGATAGAAACTAACAGTATGAACGCCACTGACGCCGGTTAGCCTTCGGTGCATCCAGCCAAGCACAAGGAGGGTCACGTAGACCCAATTCTGGAAAGCGAATAACACCAACGGCACTCAAATATTCTTCATTCCCTTCCGCCATACCAAATTCTCTCCACCTCAGGGTTTGCACCACTCCGAACTGAGCACAGAAAAGAGCGTTTATCTCGTCAGGTGCTAACTCCTCGCTGCAAATTCGTCGGCTCTATCCGATTCAGTTATAGTTCCAAGATATCAGTGATCAAAGACATGAAGATGCCTCAGATACTCCGCCTGAGGTGGCTAATTCTCGCAGGCCATACTGTAGTCTGATACACGCACCCTTTGAGAACTAGTGAAACGCCTATTTGATGCCACACGTGGCGTAAATAAGGAAGCGCAATTCTGATCTTCGAGATTCGTGCGTTCTCTTTGTCTGTCACACCACTACCAGGGCTAATACAACTTCCAAGTTACGTATGGTGTTCCACAAACTCGTATCACTGCTCCATGCAGCATTACTTTGCACGCTGTTAGCGTGAAGCACGAGCCTAAGGACTGTATAAAATTGGTCCGCTCTTCGAAAACGCTTGTTTTTTTCACAATTTCTAAAAAATAGAACAATATCCCCTGCATATTTCAGATCGACAAGTTTCTTGCTCGGGCAGATCTGAACATCAAAGTTTCGGAGGCCTTCCAGTGTGCTTCTTATTGATTCATCAGTAATGAAATTGGACATAAAGCGAAACCCATTACACGAGCCCTAATGATTCACTTCTAATTAACGCTAGGTAACACTAGTAGTCGAGGGGTAAAATGGGAGACTAACAGAAAATAGCACACCAACGCTATGTACTGGGCTAGACCAACTAGACTGCGGGACGACGTATGGATTTAATCAAGCGGTCCTATGTAGCGTGCGAACACAGATTAATAATCTGGATAACTCTCAATCAGACGTGATTTGGAGTGCCGAAGTCGTTAAATCTGAAGCTACGGCTGCCCCGACAACCAAAGTGGTCCCTTTGATCCCGTTCTACCGCTTTACTCAAACAGGGATTATGAAACGAGTCATTATAAGTGTGCCACATACTGTCCCCCAAGCGGTGGGAAAAAATCCGCAAAATCTTTTCAACCATACGACTTCTTCCGGTCCAGCAGGAACTTTAGAAGACTAAAGGGTGCAGGTATTTCAGGAAGGTCGTTTGAATCATTTATATAAATTTAACTCAAATCCTGATATCATCATCCAAACTATTAGCCAGCAGGCCCCTGTATAGTGGCTGTGTTTAGCATCCAGGCTGAATAAGTATGTGCTTTGCGCCCAGCCACCACCAATAAGTCACTCTCACTATTGAGTGTATTAGTAGTTCTGATTGCCCAAAGCACGGTTGATTTGTTCGAAAAAAGTACACATGGGCAGTGCATTACTGTAGGATGCATGACAGCTTTGGACCGGGTTCTCACCCGCGCTACTGTACTGTCTCTTGACTTGCCGCCTAGCCGCATTATGCCATTTGGAGTCGTATTGAGTCAAGCTACCAAACCGAGCTGTCTTGAACGACATGTTGCAAAAGGAGCACGGTGGAGCAGCAAGTAGAATTAAGCGGCTAGATGATGAGGATAAATGTACTTTTGCAACCTACTTTAGTAGTAACAGAACATCGGACTGGATGTCAGCTAGCCTGCCGCTTAAGATAGCCGCCGACTAAACGACCGCATCCTGTTTCACTTCGGTATTCGAGATACTGAAGTGTTTTTCTCCACAACACTACTTATAAAGTCTTCAACAGTTCACTACTGGGTTTATCCTTTTTCAAGCTCATCAGGTATGCTTAATTCCTGAGTTTTTGCCACCCTTTCTTTCTACCTAAACGCTAAAGTTTACGTAAGTGGGAACATAAATGAACCTGCAAATCAACGTGAACGTCAACAGAGGGCAAAACAGATTGTGGGCCACTGAAAAATCCTCGTCAACCTCACAAACAGCGTTATGTGGAGAATAAATGGTTAGGTATTTGTTATAGGTGGTTGATTAATTTTTAGAATCGCCATTCAAGCCAATCACATTTGACGAGTCTTCCTTCTACCCTAGCACAATTATTCCTGTGAGTCTACACCAAAGGGGGAAGCACCGGACTCGAGTTTAGCTCTCATTAAAGATCATCAGCAACGCACTTGTTTGACCACGTCGGGCTTTAATCCCGAACATTCCACACGTGAGTAATGGGGAGTGGTGGATTATTGGTGTTGGATTAGATCTTTGTTTAAACGCCTCCACAAACGTGCAACCTACTTTCCTGTGCACACCATAGGAGAATGATCCACATGTACTTTTTGGCCGGTAGTGTGTGCATCATAACCTGATCATTACTGAATGTCCGGCGTAACACGGTACATCAGGAAGCTCTCATTAAAGATCATCAGCAACGCACTTGTTTGACCACGTCGGGCTTTAATCCCGAACATTCCACACGTGAGTAATGGGGAGTGGTGGATTATTGGTGTTGGATTAGATCTTTGTTTAAACGCCTCCACAAACGTGCAACCTACTTTCCTGTGCACACCATAGGAGAATGATCCACATGTACTTTTTGGCCGGTAGTGTGTGCATCATAACCTGATCATTACTGAATGTCCGGCGTAACACGGTACATCAGGAACGGTTAAAACATCAGTGACACTGTGAATAATTTCCGATGCACAGCTAACTCTCAACTAGAAGAGAGCACAGGAGCTGGTATAGTGTTGGGTTTCCAAGCCTTCACAATACTAGTGCAGCTTAAGCTGCGGACGTCATTAGGATGACATTAGCTCCAATGGAATGGTGGCGAAACCCGAGCCTCTTCAGCACGCCGATTGCGCTGCCAATAAATAAATATAATAATTCAGCTGTAGCACTCTTCCGGTGCCTAGCTGCATCGTCATCATCATCATCGTTGTCAGCTGTAATGCCTCTTCAGCCGATTGCGCTGCCAATAAATAAATATAATAATTCAGCTGTAGCACTCTTCCGGTGCCTAGCTGCATCGTCATCATCATCCATCATGTCAGCTGTAATAACCGCGTACTCGTCGTACAGTGGTTGTAGCTGCCGCAGTTTCGTTCACCGATGATTTGGGGGGGG